GGTTAATTTGATTATTAATTTAAAAATAAATTTAATTAATTAATATAATTAAATACAAAATATGCAGAATTCTACGCATGAATTAAGATGTATTGTTTATAAGTTGTATTTATAAGAAACAAGCAAGCACAATCGGTGATTCGCTCGCCAATCCCGTGATTATTGCGAGCATTTGAGCAAAGGAAACTTCTATGCTGGATTCACAACCTTTATCCCAAACCTCCAAACTTCACAGTAAAAAGAAAAAAAGTAAAAGGAAAAAGTGGACGTTTGAGTTTACCGGGTGTAGCCGGTGAGAGATTTGGGTGGAAAAACGAAAAGAGTTGTCAGTTCAGACAAGTTAAGGGCAGACCCTGTCAGTTGACACCTGCAAAATATAAACAACTTTTTGCCTTCTTTTTCTCAACATTGAGCGACGTAGTGGACTTGTAAACCGTTGGCCGAGTCTTAACCGTTAGATTTAGTTCGTTAGATTTGTGTGGAAGACGTGGCAGCTCAGGATTTTGTTTGATGGGCACGAATGAGTCAGGGTGCAGCCCACGTGATCTTACAAATTCTGCCCAAAGCCAAAAAGGTGATGCCAATACTGTTGTGGTTAAATCCTGGAAATCGCCTGGATTTGTGAACTGCTGTCTACCTTTTTTTTTTTTTAACCTTTTCCTCTCGGCTTTCTTTTCGGGCCTCTCTCCCTTCCTTTTGGAAGCGGTCTTTAGTTTTATTTGGCCGAAAAGAGAAGTCGGGACACGATAAATCTGATAATTGAAAACGCATTTGGATGAGATGAAGTGAAAATGATAAAAAAAATATAAAATTATATAATTTAAATTTTAATAAAAATAAACAAATATTTTTATTTTTATATTAATATAAATTATAATATATTATATTTTATAAAAAATATAATATAAATTGATAACATTTTATATGATACTTATTCGAATTGATAATATTTTATACAATATTACTCGCTCCACACCATCCAATTACCTCTTAAAGGGTTAAAACTAAGTATAAAAACTAAAAAAATCCTCGTTTTCTTCAATTTCCTTTTTTTATTGAATTATTTAAATTAATTTTCATGTTGAATAGGTAATTACCTAAACTAAAAAAATTTTAAGTTCTTCAAAATTTTTATTTAAATATAAATTTTTTTGATAATTTTAAATTTTATTTTATTAAAAAAATAATTTTATTTTAAAATTTTAAATCTTCTTACAAATGAAACCTCTTCTAGCAAATTTTTATTTATTATTTTAGTCTAAGCCAAAGAGTATTGTGGATGACGTACGGTCGATGGACCTGTTTTGGGCTTAAAAGCTACCCTTTTGGCAATGAGAATGAGGAGGGCCCCATAAATTTTGTACTTATTTATTGGAGATGAGGAATAACGATGGAATTACAAAAGTTGGGAAATGAATAAACAAATTCCCCATCTTCTTGCTTTGGGGTTCTTTGTTTTATTCTTCCAAATATACTCCTTTTAAAAAAAAAATTTAAAACATTTTTATCAACAAGAAACTCTTTGTAAAATTTCATGTAGCTGAATTGTTTCATATCATATGGTAAATTGTTGGAGAGACTGTACCAAATGGTTCGAAATTAATTTATGGACGAGAAACAAAAATATTGGTAAATCATTGTGTAGATAATACAAAATTTAAGGCAACAACTTTATGTATCTTATATGAGTTTTTGTTCTATTGATATATATATATTTTAATTAGAAGATTCAAAAATTAATTTTTTAGTAAAAAGATCATTTTACTCCTTGAATTGAAGTCATTTGTACTAAAATGAAACTAATGAGAAGCAACATTGTCCATAAAAGATGCTGTCATGGATCATGAGTTTCGTATCGATATCATCCTTAAATAAACTCTTTTGTGCTACTATCCAACTGACTTGGGAATAACGTACTCAACAAATAATTATATGCACTGAATTATTTGCCGTCGAAACGAGAAAAAAATCAACCGCTAAATTACAAATACACGTGAAAGTTGGGTGAGCTTTAGATTGGACAAAACTGCTGGATATGGAGTTGAAAGTAGCCACCCACCCACCCTAGGGAGTTTTCGAAAGATGGTTGGTTCAAAGAAAGTGCGGCCGCTTTGGTGGGACTCGCAGTCCAGACGTGAGTGAGATGAAATAGCTGGGCTAATGCTGTATTGCATTCCTCAGATTTGAAGGTATCAATCACCTCACCCATGTTAAATATGCCAGTGGATATTGATGTTGACACAAGACTGCTCAAAATCCATCTCAATAACTAACAATAGAAATGGAAACCTTCCATTATTTTCTCATTCTTTCTATTCATTTTTGTGATTGAAATTGTCATGGTATGTTCCATCAAAGCCCTAATCATTACTCTTTTTGTTCCAATATTGCTTGGAACTTGAAGTTTTGTTTATTGCAAAAATGACCCATCTTTTGAAAATTAAAAAAAGAAAGAAAGAAAATAAGGTGAGATGAATGCAATCATTTGAGCAATCTACATATGTGTACAAATATATATCTAGACAACTCATATATACGAGGGTCCCATTGGTCTAAAGATTTATTTTGTTTAGTCATGTTTTACATGCTATATAACTATGACAATTCATAAACAAAGTATCAAAGACAATCATCTAGAACATGAAATACGTGCTTAGTTTTCCTATAATCAATTTTGACGTGGGGTGTAGCTCTATTCTTTGAAACAGAAACCAAAAACATTGTGTGCAACTGCAAGTTATGATTGCCTATTTGCCTGTAATTCCACCAGGTAACGTCGCAAAACGACTTTCAAGTTCCTGATCCCTGTAGTTAGAGTCGATCGCAAAGCCTGGGCCAGGTGTATGAGCTTGGGTTAACGTAGGTTAATTGGAGCTTGGGCAAGGTATTATAGGCTAGGCCTGTGCTTAAAATCCAGGCTGCTTTCCTTCGTCTTGCCTTGTCTCTGGAGCTTCCTCTTCAGTCTTTTTTTTTTTTATAATTTAATTACTATCTTATACCAAAATAAAATAATATTAATGATATTAGAAGAATCTTATGGCATGCATTTACAAGTATAAAAAAAAATTTAGGAAATCCAACTGCAAATACTCACTCAAACCTTGAAGATAATTACCGGTCTTGAAGTTTATATATTTAATGGTTGGGCAATTAAAATACTAGTAGTACTTGGTAAATATTTATATTGGGTGCTAAATCTCAAACTTGAGTTCTCACTATATTCTTGACTACGAAATTCCTAAAAAAATAAAGAAAAAAAGTGAGCATTAATGGAAAAATCCAACTAGGTACTAGGAAGAGTATAATACCATTTGACAAACACGTTTGCTTTATGCTATTCATGATCTTTAATTTTCTATTCAAATTTTATTTTTTGTTTTCTTTCTATCCATTCATTTAAAAAAAAGTAAAAGCATTTATCAAACATAATTTTAATTGATATAAATTAAATAAATAATTTCTATGAAAAAGTTGTTTTCAATTACGGTAATTTTTTTAATGAAAATTATGGTAGTTGGTCTTGAATAGATTGATTGTGAGATTAAAAATTAAAATGTTTAATGAGAACATTTTACTTATAATTTTTTATTATAATTATGTAATTATTCGATTATAATAAAAAATTATGAAAAAATCTATCATTTAAAAATTTGGGCTTTACATAAATTTTTATAGACCTTACACAATATTAAATTATAATTAATTAATTACACTATAATTAAAAGTGATACACTTTCTCTGCTATCTAAGCATTTCTGATGCTCTTTAATTTTAATGAAAGCCATTTTTTCCTTAAAAAAAATGCTAATGTTGTTATAAATATTATAAATGTTGCGTTGCAACTTGCAAGCCTTTTTTGTTTATAGTAGTGGTCAAACAAATGCAAAGATATATAGATACGTGCACAAAGATCTGGAACTACCAGGTGGGTGCCTGTTGGTGGTTGCCAAGATCATTGCTCAGTGAGTGGGTTCCTTTCGGAATGGTGGGCTTGGTGCATAATTAACCCTTTTCTTTTGTTATTTCGATTGGAAACAAATTAAGTTTCATGGTGAAAATTTTCCTTTACTCCTGTGCGTATTTCTTGTTTCTGGATTCTTATTAGTTGACATGAACATTATTTTTTTTTAATAAAATAAGTTGTAACTTAAGATAAAAAAATTTCAAATGTTAAAATTTAAAATTATATAATATTATGATTGCACAAATTAATTAAATTAAATTTGAATTTTATTAAATATTTTTATTCTTAGAATAAGATTGTGTAGTCTCCACCAAAATTTAACTTTGGTGGCTTGATTTTATACCGTGCAGAATAATTTAACAAGGTCATTAATACGATAATTGATTAAAGAAAAACTACCCAAAAATATGTCAATTAGCCGACCGATCTGAATTTCCTAGACTAGCTGGCTTTTTGCTATTAGCAGATACGATCGGCAGTGAACCAATGTAAAAGCAAAAGGAGAATATTAAGCCTGATTTCCATTCAGGTACGCACTTCATTTTTTTTTTATTTTTATTTTTAGATAGATAAATTATTTAATTTTTTAAATTAAAATAAAATAAATTGTATTCGATAATTTAAAATAAATAATTATACATCATGTATTTAAAATAATTTTAATAAATAATTATTAATAAAATTTAAATTTAAAATCTTTTCATTAAAAAAAAAAAAAGCCTTGACCAATTAAACTAAATGCACAGAGACAGAGCATTCCACAACTAACAGTCTCACTGCAGTCTCATCTTTATTCAAGTTGTAAACGAAATGTCAAAAAGAAATAGTTAAAAAAAACAAGCAAATGTAGATTAAGTTTTATTTGCTCGTTTCAGTATCAGCCGAAAGAATTTTGGGAGTTGGGCCAAAAGGGGACCTGACGACAAATCTTCCAAGTCTTATTTGTTTGGATGGTTTTGACTTTGGAGTTTAGACTTCAGACCACCCTTCCAGTTCGACGTGTCAAACCCTCTTTATTTTTGCAGAATTCAAAACAAAATCAGGTGAATAAATTTTCCTCTACAGCACTTTTCAAAGAAATAATATAAAGAAATACAATCGGTTCATTGATGGCACGCTGCTATGGCCTACTAATATGATATTATTGAGAGTTGAGATCGAGTGTTGCTTCGAACTAATTGATTTTTAGTAACCAACCAAGCCAAAGCCAAAGGAAGTCTTGAGCCAATCAAATATCTCATCATCAGACTAAAATCACTTTCCGCCGTACGTGTTTCCACCCCCGCAGGCCACCTCTCAACCACTAATGGAGACAACGACGATGCCACTACTTAAAGGAGCACCACCTACAACGTTGACTTTGTTGGAGAATGGCAACTATGCACCGGCGAGGAGCTTCGAGGAAGCGAAGTCGATGTTTTGGATAGAGACGGTGAAGATATGGAAGATTGCAGGTCCCATTTCTTTCCAAATAATCTGTCAATATAGGACCAACTCCTTTACCAATATATTCGTGGTGCACATCGGTAACTTTGAACTCTCTTCCGTCACCATTTCTCTCATTGTCATTGGAACTTTCTCTTTCGGCTTCATGGTTTTTTCTCTCCCCAGGTGTATTCCTATGATTTTAAACATTATTACTGCTATTTAAGAAAAAAAATACTATTAATGCATTTTTTCTTAAATTTTGATGAAAACATTATATTAGTATTGTCATTTGTGAATTACAAGATTATAAGCCTTTGATTTTTAATATTTCTTTCGGATAAAATCCCTTTCCCTTAGCTAAAAAATAGTTCTTGAATACCGACCTAAATTTGATTAATTATAGTGCAAATTATTATTAACATGTAGCTCGGCATGGGAAGTGCACTTGAGACGCTTTGTGGTCAAGCTTTTGGTGGTGGACAAATACACTCGCTTGGCGCTTATATGCAAAGGTCCTGGATTATCTTGCTCGCCACCTGTTTCATCCTCTTGCCATTTTACATTTTTGCCACCCCAATCCTTAAACTTCTCGGGCAAGAAGTTGAGATCGCTGACATGGCTGGGAAGTTCACCATACTTACCATCCCACAATTGTTTTCACTTGCCATTACCTTCCCTACTGTAAAGTTCCTTCGGGCTCAAAGCAAGGTCAACTTGCTGGCTTGGATTGGGTTTCTGGCCCTGATTCTCCATATTGGAATTCTTTGGCTCTTCATCAATGTTTTGTGTTGGGGAACAACTGGTGCAGCCATAGCATTTGACATCACCAGCTGGGAGATCAGTTTAGCTCAAGTCGCCTATGTTATTTTTTGGTGCAACGAGAGGTGGCATGGCTTTTCATGGTTGGCATTCAAGGAGATATGGGCCTTTGTTCGACTCTCCATTGCTTCAGCTGTGATGCTTTGCCTTGAGATTTGGTACATGATGAGCATGATTCTTCTTGTTGGTCACCTTAATAATGCAGTGATTGCACTCGGTTCCCTTTCTATTTGGTCAGTTCGTAAAAAGCTTTGCATCAATTGTTTATAAATCTTATCATACTATTGTACCTCACTGCTGATTTCAATGAAATCAAAGTTAATTTGGGAGTGCAGAAAATTTTCTACTTTTGTCTCTTAACAATCTGTTTTCTCATTCTAGACATTGGATGGAAGTAATTGGCTTAAAGCTATAGGCTAAGATGAGCAATTGGGATTGGAAAAAGGAAAAAGTTCCAAAAGAAGCAACATATTTAATCAATTATGTATGAAAGGATATTAAAAAATTCCAACCAGTTAATTTTACGATTCTTTGGATTGCTTTGATGCATTGTTCTGACATTTATGATCCATTTTTTATGATTTTACATGACAGTATGAATTTGAATGGCTGGGAAGCGATGCAGTTCATTGGAATAAACGCTGCTATGAGGTAAATATTCTCAGACATAACCTTCAGTACATGATGATTATTAAACATATATTGAGTTTTGCATAATACTAAGAGTTCATTCATCATTTTCAGATTTTCTCAAATATTTGTTTCTTTTTTAGCTGAATATCAATATAAGCACACTGGGTATTACTTTCTTCTCTGGTTTTGTAAATTTTCCCTAATGGGTATTGCTTAATCAAAAGGTTTACTACTTTACTTTTTGGTTCGATGGTGAAGCATCTTCATGTAATACATTTCACGTTTCGATCCACTTCTCTCAGCGTTCGGGTTTCCAATGAGCTTGGATTGGGACATCCAAGAGCAGCCAAGTACTCTGAATATGTTAACCTGCTTCAATCTCTCCTCATTGGGCTTTTCCGCATGGTTGTTGTTGTTATAACCAGGGATCACTTTGCCATCATTTTTATCAGCAGAGAAGAAATGCAGCGAGCTGTTGCTCATCTAGCATACCTTCTTGGTGTGACCATGGTTCTTAACAGTGTCCAGCCTGTGATATCAGGTATCAATGTGTTTGAACTTTGATTTTTATCGTCTTTTTTTTTTTTTTGTACTCAGATACACTTTTTATGTCATTCTTGTAGGTGTTGCTATTGACGGTGGATGGCAGACATTGGTTGCTATTACGTTTTTGATCTTCCGCTTCGGATACCTACTTGGTTATAAAGCAAAATTAGGAGTGATGGTATGGTATTTCTGTTCCCTTTCCTCTCCTACCTGTATTTGCATGATGAACAGCTACCCCAATTTCCATCTGATTCTAACTAGTTTAATGTAGAAACGAGGCCCTGTCTCTGACTCTGACTGTGGCATGATGCGACCAGCAGCCATGTCTCTCCTCGCATAGTAGTCTCAATCCAAAATTCTTCTTCTACACTCTCACCAATATAACTTTTCTTATTATTGCAAGGACTTTGGGAGGGCATGATATCGGGAACTGCTTTGCAAACCTTGCTGCTCTTGATTGTTCTCTATGGAACCAATTGGGATAAGGAGGTTAGTTAAAATTGCTTTTGTCATTTGCTCACTAGATAATGGAATTTTTCGGGTTAAAGCACCATCTGAAATGTAGCATTGACTTTTTCATCCTCTTCATTCTCGGTTTACAACCTTTTTATTTACTTAAGAGATGATAAATTTCAATAGAAAAAAACCAGTAATATGATTTCGTTTTGAATGTCTGCAGTCAACTGCATTCTGGTGTGTTCTTTTAAAAATTTTTTTTTTTTTCTCTAATGAAATCCAGGGTGTTGAGAATTCTGGACAAAGTAAAACTAAGTAGTAGAGTAATTCATTTACAGGTGGAACAAACAATGGGACGTATGAGGAAGTGGGGTGGCCAAGAAATCGCTACTGAGGGGACAAATAGTAGTAGCATATGAGATCAGATGTTAGAAGGAGGACAATATAGACATTAGCCTTTAGCATTACTTTGGTTTTATTTCTCCTGATTCTGATAGGAGCAAGTTGGTTGATACTGAATACTGTGACAAAGATCCAACTCTTTGTCTCTCGTGACCTTTTATACGGAGGCATTTCCAATTAGAGAATAAAAAAAAAAAGAAGTGAAAAAACTCCTTGGTAATTCAACCAACTTTATGTATGCATTTGCATCTACAAAAAAATTGAAGTTGCTCTCCGAGTTGAGTTGGTTCATATCAATAGATTTTCATGAGGAATTTTCAATATGTAGGCATTGTTGGTGGAGGAGATACTAAATTCTAAAAAACAAAGTTACAGAAGCAAGCATTGGGATTTGACGAAGTAGTGTTTTCCTTGTGAAAGTAGTAGCTGCACAGAATTGAAACTTTTTTTTATCTATCAAAAAAGAAGCAGCAAAGCTGCTACAAAGAATACAACTACAAGATCAGAACAAGGACAGCAAGGATCAACGAAACAAAAAAAAAAAGACAGACAAGAACAACATCACACATACACCAAAAATTGTCTATTAACAGCATCTCCGGCCACATTCTTAAGACCCTGCAAACGGCATCTAACAGTCTCCCGCATACTCCATAACTCCAAAACAGATTTTAGCTGTTTCGCTTTTTCTTTTTTTTTTTTTAACGTAGTCTCTATTGTTCCTCTGAGTCCAAACGAGATGGATATAAACGCGATCCAAGCTTTGCGAAGAATAATCATGATCAGAGCTTTACATTTAAGCTTGGTTTGGTCCTGGCCTAATGCAACTCAGATGTCCAATCTCCAACTTGTGATGTTGGACCTAGCTACTTTGTTCTGTACAAGAGATTTTGGAAAGTTGTCATTATTCAATCAATCAGTTTATCAGTTTTTGTTCAGAGTCCAACTCCATTAATTAACATGTGCCCGAAGATTAACTAGAGTAAGTTCGGGCTGTCTAATTTCCAATCTTCATAGCTTGTTGACATAGGCCAAATTTTCTCTGGTGTTAAGAGTTACGATAAGAGAATATATTCAAGAAGTTATCCAAAGTCATCCTAGGCAGGATGGCAGACTGGTCTAAGCCGTCAGACTTAAGTTATGGTCCTCGTGACAGTGCGTGGGTTTAAATCCCACTTTGGACATATTTGATATTTCTTTCTGTTTCTATTTTGAATGGTAAAAAAACTAAAAAGGTTTGAAAAGTAGGGCAGCTACTTAATGGGCAGTAACATTTTATCCTTCCTTCTACATGACGCTGAGAGCAGGGCATCTGGTTATGGGGTTCTCTCATGACTGCAACTCAAATGACAAACGACGCTGACTGACTGGTGAGAGCAGAGACCCATCAACATAAATCAAGTCTGTAACTTTAAAAATAAGGTTATGGGCTTCAGAGTTTTTATTTATCGAATATTAATGTTACTACTAATCGCCATATTTTTATTTTGTAGTATGTTTGAACGTGAAAGATCTTGTTAAACTGAGGCAATGAGACCAGGAAGCGATTAATTTCATAAAGTTCTTTGACAACCCCATTAATATTCAATTCTAACTGATATGATCATTCAACAACCTACAAAGAAAATACGTGCAAGAAATTGAACCAATTTTCATCAATTTAATTTGAAATGGACAACATACAAAATTTTCATTTTAATGTTTATTGTTTTGCTCATTAATCACATTAGCTGTACGTGAATTGTTAGGAGTATTTTAGTCATGGAATAGATTATTTTGGTGCTGCAGAACACAGATAAGCGGGAAGATGAATGAGGATAGAAACCAACATTAGCGAAAATTGTTCAAAAACAACATTCATATTGGGTTTTAACGAAAACTAAATTAAAAATAAAACATCATAATAAACTGAATTTTCTCAAATCAATCTAAGATGCCATCTCTTTTCTAGAAAACATTGGCTTAAAAGACAACCTAAAAAACATTATGCTGCAGCTTTCTGTTTCTTTGGCATTCGGTAGCCACCAACGACACAAGCATGATCACGCTCAAAAGGTTCAAGAGTGACTTGTTCGAAGGGCTTGAACTGATCCTGTTGCAATTTCTTAACTTCATTCTGGAATACAGCCTCAGCAGGAACAGTGGAATCGATGCAGTTCGCCTGAGAACAAATGTTCAATCAAGTTAAGAGGGCATGCAGAGCGAAAGCTTCTAGTGAAATTAAAGTCAACTTCCAAGTCTCCAAAAAAACAACAAATTTCACAAGTTTTAAGTTTAAAGCCAAAATTCATTGGAACACAAACCTTGATTGAAATAACAAAATGGCCTCCAGCTTTCAGGAAAAATGATGCATTCAGCGCCAGAATCCTTGCCTGCAAATAAGTAAGAAGTAAAAAAGGACTCAGAAACAAAAGGATTTCAGGAAGATTACGTCAACTCATCTCCACCAGTGAAGGATATGAGAGAGAAAAGTTGAGTAAGCTGTTCAGTGGTCTAAAAACCAGAGCAGTCAAATTATCATAGACTCATTTTGTGCAATAAAGAGCACTGATGGAAATTAATGCATTCTCTTTTTCAATTTTAGCAATGCATATGCATATAAAAGAATGCATGAACTTGAAAAACAAAGAAAAAGAAGTTTTCAAACACTAGTGTGACATATTTTAAGAATGTATATGAACCAAAAAGAAATTAAAATAAAAGAATATATACAATTACTACTCTCAAGAGAGTCAAAAAACCAATGCTTAAATAAAAAAAGGCGGCAAAACTTGCACAAACAAGATAGAAGGGTTGAAACAAGCATCAGAAACTTGGTATTGCATCACCCATGATATCTTGAAGGGGAATCCAAGTACTTCATCATTTGCATATTGAAAAGTCAAATAAAAATAACAAAGAGAAAAAAATAAATGGGAAAAGAGAGAGGCTGCTACACAAGAGTTTCATAGACATACTTCAGGTAAAGAGGAAGAATCTTTAAGATTCAACTCCTTGTAGCCAAATACTTATATCAGCATTATATTTAGTAGATAACAAATTAAAAAAAATGAAAACCTTTTTGCAAACTATTTAAAGTTGATGACTTAATATTGTATCAGAAACTCGAGTTTACATCACCCATAAAGTCTTGAAGGGGAATCCGAGTAGACTTCATCATATGCATATGATAGATAAAGCTACTAAACAAATACTGAAGATAAAAGAGTACATTGTAAAAACAGAACACAGATGAATAAACACGTACCAAGCCAAAAGAGAAATAGACCAAGCATTTTGTGCAGGCAATTCAAAGCAAATGTGAAATGTGGGATGCATGCATGTGATGAGATAAAAAAGAGAGCACATAAGCACAAAGGTACACTATCAAGATCCACCACACTACAGCACAATAATCCCAAGCCGCAAGTTGATCCAACAAATAAACTTTGACCCTGCTGATTGTTTTTCATTTCACTATTGTCTAAATCAGAAATAAAGTGACAAATGCTCAAAAAGCCCACCTGGTCAGGCTGAGCAACATCAGAAAATATCACATCCACCATGCCAACTAGCATCCTGTATTTGGATGGATGCCTAGCATCTTCAATGATAGGTATAACATTTGTTCGCTTCTTTGCCATGTTGACCAAGTCTCTACCACTTCTGTGAGAAAATTCCACAGCATAAACCACTCCCGTCTGAAAAAAAAAAAAAAAAACCCATAAGCAACTCTGACAAATATAAACATAGAAATACATTGGAAAATTTGGGTTAATACTATACTCACAGGACCGACAACATCAGATACATGAGAAACAGTGGTACCAGAAGCAGCTCCAAGATAGAGAACCTTAGCACCAGGTTTCTTGATTAATCAAAAAATTGAATTACGCAGGTCAGTCAGGAATCCAAAAAGTGCTACAAGAGGTACAAATCATGAACAACTGATCTAGAATTGAAAGCTTACAATCCATATATTATCAACACCTCCAAGAATTGCAGCTGCCAACTTAGATCGGAAAGGATTCCAAACCCTGTACTCAACTTTAGTCCCATCTTCATTCTGTTAAGGGAAAATCATAAAAGACACTCAGTTTCTCATTGCAAAGTTAATCATTCTCTTGTCAACAAGTCTAGTGGAAAAGCAAAATACCCAAGAGCCCAAATACCATACCACATCAATTATTTTATAGTAGTAAATGACAGAAGGAAAATGAAGTGAGTTATCAGAAAGACAAAATGACCTGAACGGCGATCCTCTTTTCATTGTAGACAGCCTCACCAGGGACCATATTCTTAGTAACAAGAGCATCTTCTTTACCCTTAGCCACAAAAACTCCATCGTGTCTGTGGGGCTCAACTACAACCTTGCTCCCACCCTTCATTCCTCCGCGCCCCCTTCCTCCACCGCGGCCGCCACGTCCCCCACCACGGGACTTCATAGCACTGCCCCCCCTATCGCCACCTCTTCCACCACCACCTCTTCCTCTCCCTCTCCCTCCATCACCTCTGCCCCTAAACCCACCACCACCACCACGGCCTGCACATAATCAAAACATTAGAAATGCCATAACCAGACTCTAAACTAATTTAAAAAAAAAAACCAAAAACACAGAACTAAGCTGCTTCTGAGCTCCGAACTATCAGACTCAGATGCTGTTTCAAATTACAAAGAAAAATAAGAGATATTGGTTACCTCTTGGAGGTCTCATCAGTTTGAAAGCAAAGAGAATGAAAAGCTAGGAGCCAGAGAAGTAGAGAATGGGAGGCGAAGCAATGTTTGGGGCAAAGCTAGGGTTTATCTAATGAATATATGGACCCCTGACACTAGGGTTTTAGGGTCTAGTGTGAAGTGGGTTACTTTTAGCATTGGGTTTTCGCCTCAAAAAACAAAGAGAGAAGATATATAATGAGAAAAAGAATGGATTGTTACCATGATCCAACCCAAAATTACCTTTTACGGCCTAATTACTCTGGGGCAGGCCTTGATCTTGAAACCTTGAAAAACCCAAAACATCTTGTTGCGATTAATTTGTCACATCCTGTTACTTGCTCATTCAAAATATGGGCTTTATCATCCATTGGGCTGTTAGACCCAAGAAAATTTCCTCATATTGAATGATTCCTTTCCTCCCAACTCTTTCAAGTCTGAATATAAGGGACACGAAGAAATGTACGTTTGCCTTCTGTGAGTATCAAACATTAGCAGACACAATAAGGCTCGAGCTAAGCTCCATTTAACAACCAGTTTACAGCACGGCTCGGCATATTTCTAGCATTGCTTGTGGCTGAGCCGGGTCTTATAGCAGCTTCGATTGAGCTGGCTTCAACAAGAAGACTTGCAAGGGAGTTGGCTCAGCTGGCCGCAGCTGCCAAGGGAATAGAGACCTGGACACAATAAGTCGGCTGGTGGGTCGGCTAAATAATGAGGTTGAGGACATGAGTGCAATGGTTAAGTTTTTGGAGAAGAACGAGTCCAAGCCAGGTGAAGAAGAATGATGTCAACTTTATTACCCAACTACTTGATGATTTAGGGGAGCATCTCTATTTGTGTTTCATGACCATGAATAGGGCTACAAAACTTGTTGTGAAAGTGATCTTGGATCCGGCTTCACCTACCATCTAGATAAATTAATATTGGTTTAGCCAAAAACTCCATTGATTTTATTGCGGATTTTTCTTGGTTTTGACCTTCACAAACATTGGAAAACACTAGAAAACTCAGGTCATTGTCTACTTTTTTTTTTGTTAACAATCATAATAATAATTAAGGCTGCTTATGAATCAATGCCGCCTCAAATTAAGGCTCAACATAATTATCTACAATTTTAATTTATTGCCCACCAACTTTTTCCGTACAAGGTATAGATATGGTGAACAGAACTGCCAACCAGAAATTTAGAATCAATCGAGTCTTTGGTGTCTCCTTTTCTCTTATCACCACTAATTTTTCTTGCATACATAAAAAATTCCAGCATACCAACTCTAAAGTCTAAACTATGTATGCTCTGTCTTTACCAGATCTAGCCTCATATTGATAATGTTTCTTTCAGAATTTGGCTGGCATGGTCACATGGAGATCACTATTCCAGTGTTAATGCTGAATAACTACATTGAGCCTAAAAGAGGAAAAGATGTACAACTACATTTTTATTAGTAATAACTTTATTTGCATCGCTTATGGTATATAAGTAGCATCAGTTAATGCTTTCCTATTTATAATAAAGAAGGATTAACTTATACATTGTGAAATTATTTTAATTTATATATTTTAATTGTTAATTTTAATCGATTCAATGAATGAAATTAAAATTTTTTAATTTTTATTTTTTCTCTCATCTTTTAAATTTATTAAAATTAAAAATTAAAAAATATTTAAAATTTTTTAATTTTACCCCATGTAAATTGATCTCTTTCTACATATAATATTGGTTGATTTCTATTACCTGTTTTGAAAATGAGAGATAAAGGTCGAAATTAAAGTTGTATGAATAAGAACCGCACAGAATTAAGGTCCCTTGACGTCTGACGATGCATACATCATTTTCATAAGCATTGGGAGGTGGCAGCTGCTGCTGTCAAAAGGGTCCTATAAAAGGTCTGCTTCGTTTAGAAACCTTTAAACTATGGATAATGACGAAGTAAATTAATTTGATTAGGTAGCAACCTTTATTGTTGTAAATTTATTAATCATCAATTATTTGCAATAGGTCTTCCTTTTGGTGACAACTCTTCTTAAATGAAGAGTACTCCCATGAACTCAAAAACAAGCATATTTTCTTTCTTTTTGTTGAAAAAGAAATCAGTTTTTATCGAGAATTATGAAATTAAGCATCTTACAGGAAAGTTTCAATTTCAATCCACATATGACATGTTTGCAATGTTGGAAGCTTTGGCATGTGAGTAGGTTTTAAATTCAATTACTGCTTACGGAAGAAAATAAAACAAAAGAAAATGAGATAGTAGGAGGTGGGGGTTGGCCTTAATTTACAAGTAGTATTAGTCATCTAAAGGAAAAATATAAAGACATAAGAGAATACAATTACGTTCAATCTTTCATGCTCAAATAATAGGAAAGATGGTCTATATAAATAGTTTTTCTTTAAAAAAAAATGAAAACTCATATCACTAATTGTTATGTGATGTGTAATTTGATGATAGAACGTTAAATTTATAATATCAAGGTTCAATCATGATAATATTAAATCTATATGTATATATAAAAGAAGTTCCCAAGATTTTGATTTCATGTTTAGCTAACGAGTGTTATAAAAAATCAATTTGAGGATATATTTGGACATCAGGATTTCACAAATCAATGCCAAAACGATCTAGAGAGAGATTATGCCAAAAACTCTCTAATCTCTTCTTCCCATTCCACGCCAAAACTCTCATCCAAGAAAACATCTTCTTAAACACCTCAAACTCTACTTTGGCTTTCAACAACATTACCTTTTGACTCTGCTTCTACAACTTTCCTCTCCTTTAAATTTTTTGTTTGAATTTTTTTTAGATTTTTTTGGATGAAGAATTTAACATATTTTAACTGACAATTTGAGTTGTTTTAACATAGTCGTTTGTGTGCATATTTGTTGTTTGTTTTATTGTTTTTTTTTTTATGCATTATATAGATTATTCTTTTTGTGGTTTCTGGATTTTGATTTTGTGTTTGGATTATTTTTTCATGCATGATCTTTTTTGTTAATTTGTGTATTTTTTTTTGTTTTAGGTTAGTAATTAAGGGTAATTTTATGTTTGATAATACATCATTCTATGGAAATCGTAGACGCCACAACAACTGTATCACCGTAAAACCTTTCAAAAGTAACCACATCTAATCTAGCGGTAGAGAAGTGGCCTAAATGGCCAAGACACCACGTGTTTTAGCGATTGTGTCAATTTTGAAAGTGGGTAACATAATTGGCCGTAAAGGCGAACTTATCAAGAAGATGTGTGAGGAAACCTGCGCCTGCATCCACGTCCTTGATGGTGCTATTGGCACTTTTGATCGCATTATAAGTCTCTTTTTTCTTTAAAACAAAAATTCCAAAACATTCTACAATTGTTAGCTTTTTGTTATGGGTTTCTCTCTCTTTAGTTGATATATAGTATGCTTGATAAAAAAATGACTTGAAAGTCAAATATGACATAAATTCAAACCTAATCAATCCATATGGAAACAAACCATGCGTTTTTTTAAAAATGTGCATAAGGTAAGCCAACGATTTAAAAAAGACCATTTAATCAATTTTTAACAAACTTAAGAATTGTTGTTTTATGGTCAATTGGGATTGTTATTAGCATATGCTTTTATCTTCATGTTTTGCTGGTACTATCGTTTATTAGCATTTGGATTCAAGGTGTAGTTTTTTTTTTTTTTGCTTTTTCAAAACTTGATTTTAATAAATGTTTCTATTTTCTTTCTAACGCAAGTTATAAATTTTAATATATGCCTTCAATTGTTTTAGGATATGTACATTATATTAGATGTGCTAGAAGAGCATACACTGTTGGTGCTTTTATCTCTATTGTGAGTTTTTCCTAACAAAATGTATATTGCATTATCATTTTTACTATTTTCCACACTTTTTATATTTGGTATGATGGTGTACTTTTTAGTGTTATGTCATTCACTTTGGTTTTGATTAGACAACTTTTATAGTTTTTGTTTATAGGATAAGTGCTCTAATAATGATGAGGTTATTGTTGAATGACATTAGTGATTGTAGCAAAATACCTTTTTTTTTCAACTTACATGGTTTTTGTAGCTTTTGCCAATCTAATCTTTCTTTCTTCAATAGGTTTCTCTAGATGAGATATAAGTTTTTGAAGAGTTTGAATCATTTTTGGGTGATGAAAAAGATGATGAGACAAATATTATTATGCCATTTTCATTGTTGACCAAGGATGCAGTTGAGTCTTTACGATAGGGCTGAGGTGATATTATTTTGGTTCCTATTGTTGTAAGATGTGTAATTTTAATTATCGTGGTTAAGGTTAATGGTGATCTAATAGTGAAAATTTTCAGCTTTGACATATTTATAGTTTTGTATTTCATTCATGGTTTCTTTCATAAATTGGGTGGACAACTTCATTATAGGTCAAGTTGTTTCATACTTAAGTGCTAAATTCTTGTCTTGTAGGATGTGGTAACGAATGTGACAAGAATTGATGTTAGAGAATCATGAGCTCAAAATTTAAGGAATGAAATTCTCAACTTTGAAAAGTGAGTAATTATCAATAATTTTTTTGGAACATTGAAATGACAAGAGAAAAAGAATTGCAATGTAAGGAATGTTTAGTAGTTTTCTGCTTTTTAATTGTACTTAATTATGTTTGTTTTGTTTTTGTACATGCTAGAGTTACTAATTGGTCATGTGGACTTTACATGTCTCTAACAATAGTTGAAAGTAGGCTTGGAGGATTGATTACTAGAGCTTGAATAGCAATAATGTCTTTGGGACAAGAAGGTAGCAAAATATATTTTTCTATTTAATTTTAATGAATCAAACTTCCTAATAAATATTTTATTCTTTTTATTTTTTATTTTTTACATAATATCAATTGCATTTATCTTCTATTACATTCATGAATCAAATGTGCTTTAAATATTAAAAATTAAATCATTTTATAATTTATAAGCATGTTGAAAATAAAAGATATAACGAAGACTTTTTTGGGCCAAAATATTAAAAAATTTGTAGAAATATTATTGCTATTATATAATTTGTTATTTATATTATATTACATTTATCAACAATTATATTACAACAAATAGAGAGTTCCAAAATGAGGTTACTAATATGGAGGATTTTGGGATTGAGCTAAATAAAGTTGATTTAGAAAAAAAGCCAGACGAAAGGAGTTTTTGTTATAGTGAGGACCAAAATGAGAGATTTACTAGAATATTGAAGATCTTTATGCACGTCGCTATATCGTTTCATTTTAGGCAAACACAATTGTTATTGTTAAAGGCATAGATTTTGTCAAGTGTGAGGTTATAGGTCAAAGCTTCATGTTTCATTAGATTTGAAAGATGATAGGGATGGCTGTTTCGGTTATGAGGAATTGTGCTCTTTAGTCATTGATTGAAACGTCATTACAAAAGTTCATATTTCTATTTCTACTTGATTGCGATGTTGTTCTAAATGAATTTTTATTTTAGTCTTAATATAAATCTTAATAAATTTTAGAAATGTACACATTAATGTACTTAGATGTGTGCCTCTTTGAATCATATAACCTAAAATGGAAGATAGCCATGTAGAGTTGTCTACGAAAGCTTATGTAAAAAATGTAGAAGAATTCAAAATAAAGTTTATATGAAAAGATAGTCATTTAGAACTGTCTCTTTGAATCATCCTTCTTAGCTCTGCCTCTTTTTTGTGGGATGCAATGAGGCTCGATCTGACACTACCCAATGCATTTGAGCTCTTTTTGTACTATTCAGCAAGGGCAGTGACATTTTTCTCAGCCCTTAGCATATGCCCTATTGCAAGATAAGCGTAATGGAGGGCTCAACTACTGTTCTCCACGAGCTGAGGTGGAAACTTCTTTTAGACTGCAAGGAAAGACTTTAAACTTAGAAAAATAAAAACGAAAATAGTAAGAAGAAATCGAGATGAGATTAGGAGATATCCATAAAGAGGCAAAAATACAATCTTGCAGAACCTCCTAACAACATTGAGGTTAGAGATGGGGTCATCTATTAGAGCAAACTCTAACCCCATGATTATTTTTTTCAAGCTAGGTCTCAGCACTCTAGCCTTGGGGTTCTTGAGAAGAGTGGGTAACACCTTCACTCGTGGTTTTTTGGCTATAGGGGGTGGCATTGGTGCTAACGTGGAGAATAAGTTATGGCTTACCTTAGCCTTTAATTTTTGACCTGGAGGAATGCAGGGTATGGCCATGCTGACTATTTTGTCTCCCCCACGCAATAGGGCCCTAAGTTGGATTATATTTTTTCTTTTCTTGGGCTTTGGGGCATGTTGGTATAAGGCAACATTAACATATTCTCCAGTTTTAGTCATATTTGCAAAATAGAGCTAACAGTTAGATGAAAAATCAACTCAAAATAGAACTCGATAAGGTTACCTTAAACCTACCTTATATTTTATGTTGTTTATTACTTTTGGGGAGGTCAATCTATGAGCATCTATAACGAGCTCCTCCTATGTGTAAAATCCAAAATTTTATCCCAATCTAATAGATCAAGGATGGATAGGGCCACTGACGAGTCCATAAAAAAATTGAATGTATTTTTTATTTCCCAAGCCTCAACCTCTGGCTTACCATCTTTATTAGCCCTCTATTTTTTAAGGCATAGGAAAAGTAGATTTTAATTCTTTACTAAGCTAGGGCAATCGACAAGAATCTTTTTATTTGATCGAGTGTGATATAAAATCACCTACTATCACTAAGATGTTTTTTAAGAGAAAAGAACACTTTGAATAGAGGAAGAGAATGAAGAATATTTAAATGTTGACAAATAATGATAAAGAAACTATGTATTGAATAGAATTAATCGATATGGCTTTAATTTATCAGTGACTTGGTTTGAAAAATTTGATATTATTATACTGTACTCTTTTTTAGGGAAAAAAGTAATACCCAAAGCTTGAACATGATGAGTTACACACATGTTGAGACAGTTTTCACAATTTGCTATGCCTTTCAGTTAACTTATCACGTTTTTAGAGATTATGTCGAGGTCACAGGGAGTATATACAGGGACCTTGATGAGTTCATCCTACATTATATGACTCTTCTCCTTGCTATCACTTTTTTTGATTGAGATACTCTTTTCCTCGAAACTTTCCTTATCATAAGCATCTGACTCTAGAGTGGGAAATGGATCTTGAGAAAGAACAGTAGATGAAAATAACTTGATCTCAAAGAAAGAGGGATGAGGTGAAAACCCTTCAAGAGAAGACGAGATGTCAAAAAAAGTTGATTGAAGGAAGATAGTAGAAATGACAGGAGGTGGAGGAGATTGAACCCTAAAACGAGGAATACTTGAAGAGGAAAGAAGGTCAGCCATGAAAAATAGATCGATCTGAGAGATAAGAAAAACGGGTGAATTTCGAAGTTCGAAGTTGATTTAAGCACATAGCTTTTCAGTGCTCAAAATTGGCTTACCTCTTGTCCGAGCATTCTCTTCATTATGCCACTGCCCTTTCTTAAACATCAGATTGAACCAATAGGCGTTTTTCATATAGTTGTGCCCTTCAATGGTAGGAAGGATCATGTCATCATCTAGCTGTTCTTATTGATCTCCTTCTTGGCTCTACCTTGTAGCTCTTAGCCCTTCAAAACTCACACTAGAAAACATGGTTAGAAATACATACCAAAATGAATGAAGAAAAAACTTGAAAGGCAAGAAAGTCACGAAGATAAAAATTTTAGGTCGGATCGAGAGCAAAGAAAGTGAAAGATGAAAAACTGAAGCCTTATGAGTCCCTTTATATAGATGCGCTTTAGCCTAGAGAGATGGCACGTCCTCGCCATTTGTTAGAGAGTGGGTAGGTAGATGTCTTTTCATCTCTTATTTTAAATCTCCCCATTCAAATGATCTCTCGGCTCATTTAATGCTATTAGACTGGCCTAACCGGACAAACCCCAAATCAGACCAGCCAAATCGAATGATTGTCAGAGGTAAACCAATAGCCCGGTTCATTTTCAAGGTTTAAAATAAAGGCTCAAGCCTAAATTTTTGAAAGAAAATACAAGTCTTACCATGGCTATACGAACTCCAGCAATAATCTCGAATTACCCCTAATAATTGTCACCTCGACAACTTTTAAATCAATTATGCACTCATCCCGAAACACATGCGCGATATCGGTTAATGGCCAAGTTGGACCATGACTCAAAGCTAGTCATCATTTAGAATTGACCTCTTCCTACAACATCGGTCTTTGACAAAATATGCAACCCCTTACCCCATACCAGAGACATTGATAACAAATTTGGCGATTTGATACTTAGATCGCTTGATGAGGGAATAAAGTGTTGGGGGCATATAATAGTCAAAAGCCATAGTGGTCTTTTTCCTTATCTCAGTCTCTAGCAGATAACCAGGGGTATGCTAGTCATTTGTGTCGACCTGATATGTCAGGTCAGTCTGACATCTCCAATGCCACCTCAGTTCGGTTCTGTCCTAATTATTTTTTTTTTGTCTCTCTCACCTTACCTATAAACATAGAGACTCAGGCATCATAGAACTAGGTTCAACTAACTTATACCTTTCTTTTCTTCCTCCCTACTTTTTCACCTCCTTTTTGATATGATCCTTACTGATTTACGTGTTGGAGTATAAACGCAATGAACACCTCTTGCCTTTGACTCTAATCGTTCATCTCTTCTACTTTTAAAGGATTAATCTCAAGTTGGAGCTCAACACAAACACTTGTATGAGTCATTTCATTATGGGAAAATATGATTATTTCATATCATTTTAATTGTTCAATACTTTATTTTATTATCATTTTAAATGTTATGATATTTTTATAAATTAATTTAATCAAATGTTAATAATAGACTCGGAGTGAAACCAGCATCTTGGCATGAAAAAATTAGAAGTTTAACTTTAGAAAATTATTTGTTTTTTTAAATTTACCATCATCGAGAATGCGAAGGGGATGCTAGGTGAAAGATTTTGCAGCTCAAGGTACAAGAGCTTTACAGCAAATAATGCTAACTTTTTGATATAGAGAATAAATTTTGAGGTGTTTTTAATGTTGACACTTTTTTAGCCATGGCACAGAAAGTGAGCTAGCACCCAACTGCTTCCAAAACAGAAGAGGATACTTAGGCGTATTAATGGACGACAACTGTTCTCAATGAATCCCATTAATGCTTCCCCAACTATATCAAGTGTGTCTCTTCTTCTATAAGTATCCATACAGTCTAGTCCTCATTTTCTACCCAGCTCTTTGTAACTTTGAAAAAAAAAAATTCTCTTTCGTATAAGATTTTTATTGTTCTAAACAAAAAATAACAATAACCAAGGATATGGCAGCTGAAGCAGGGAAGAAGGAAGAGATGACGAAGGTAAAAATAACCAGCAAAAGCCATGTCAAGCCTGGCAAGATTGTAGGAAGAAAAGAATGTCAATTGGTCACATTTGATCTCCCATATCTGGCCTTCTATTATAACCAGAAGTTGTTGTTTTACAAGGGTGGGGAGTTCGAGGATAAGGTGGAAAAACTCAAGGATGGGCTCAGCGAGGTTTTGGAGGAGTTTTATCAGCTGGGAGGCAAGCTTGGAAAAGATGAGGAAGGGGTTTTCAGGGTGGACTATGACGATGATATGGACGGTGTTGAGGTGTTGGAAGCCATCGCCGAGGGGCTCAGCGTCGATGAACTTGCGGCTGATGAGGGCACAAGCTCTCTCAAGGACCTGATCCCTTACAATGGTGTCTTGAACTTGGAGGGCCTTCACAGGCCTCTGTTATCTGTGCAGGTAAACTAACAATTCTTTCAACTTTTTTGCGGGTTGTCCAATATTGCTAGGTGACAGCAGATTTGCCCATATATGCTTGTTTGACTTCCACGAGGGCTGATCTCTGTCCAAATTCCATTGAATCATTCTTTTTCCCCGCAGTTTTCTTGCAATTGAGCATTTATACTGCATCTAATTAGGTGATCATCCTGCATGCTCATTTCCATTTTAAGCAGACATGAACTCACATTGGGATAATCATTTTTTTATCCACAAGCAAGATTTTACAAATTACAATGGCTATTATATTAATTACCTAAAATATACTACTACACTAATTAATTCAGATATTTGTAGAAGAAGATAAATAATGAATGAATCAAGTTTGTTTGGCACAAAAATATGATAGATGTCATATTACATCTTGTTGTGTCACTCAAAAGCAGGTAGAACTGGCCCATGACCCTTCTGAATTTGTTGGAGTACCAGGCCCAAATGGAATAAAATTTAATGAAGTTACAGCTGTTTAATTTCACATATGCTTATTTCATAATCAAAACATTTTTGTTTAAAACATAGAGTAGGATTACCCAGAATTTGAGATTGAACCAGTGGGAAGGAAAGGATCGCATTCCATTTCTCCTATCTCATATTTGTATCAAATCAATAAAAAAAAATATACTGCCATTTTCTGTGAGTAACTCGGATAAGCCTTGAATTCACAACCTTGCTGCCCTGAGTCGTGATCAAATAGTACTTTGCGTGAGAGGAAGAACTACTGAATATTGCTCTTTGCTCTTCTTGTCCATTAAAGTCAGATCCTGATTAAAGTAGCAGTTGCTGGGTCTAGCCTTTGCTCTAAATTTCTATCAGGTGATTAGACTCTTTTGTTTGTAATGCGAACCTATAAGCCTCCTGCATTTATTTTTTATAAGCACAACCTTCATCATCCTAATCTAACTTACCTGGTTGGTTTTCTCCGTTATCAAATATCAAACGACATAAGCCTAATAATAGCCCAATCTGAAGCATAACAAGAGAAGATATTTGTTGCACAATTTTCTGGACCTGGGACCGAAGCCAATATGCCATTCATTAATTCCTGTATTCACTTGTGTTGGCCCTATATCAACTTGTACTATTCAGTTTTTTCCTTTCATCGAACCTTTTTTTGGGAAATTGACTGTCGTCATCATCGTTTACTCTGGGTTCAATTTTTATATTGATGATTTTGTCCTATAGTTGACAAAGTTGAAAGACGGACTTGCAATGGGGTGCGCCTTCAACCACGCTATCCTCGACGGAACCTCCACGTGGCATTTTATGAGCTCGTGGGCCCAAATCTGTAGCGGGTCCAACTCCATCGTCCCACCGTTTCTCGAACGGACCAAAGCCCGAAACACCCGTGTAAAGCTGGACCTCTCGCTCCCACCAAACCCAGTCGCTTCATGCAACGGTTATGCCAACCAAGGTCCACAACTCAGGGAGAAACTCTTCAGGTTTTCCGAAGCTGCCATTGACAAGATCAAGTCAAAAGTCAACTCTAACCCACCATCCAACGGCTCTAAACCATTCTCAACTTTTCAATCTCTGGCTGTCCATATTTGGCAGCATGTAACCCAAGCACGTGACCTTAAACCTGAAGACTATACAGTTTTCACTGTCTTTGCAGATTGTCGTAAAAGGGTTGATCCCCCCATGCCCGAAAGTTACTTCGGCAATCTAATTCAAGCCATCTTCACCGTCACTGCAGCAGGGTTATTGTTGGCCAACCCGCCGGAATTCGGAGCATCAATGGTACAAAAAGTTATTGAAGCGCACAATGCTGAGGCTATCGATGAACGCAACAAGGAGTGGGAGGCTGCACCGAAGATTTTCCAGTTCAAGGATGCTGGTGTCAACTGCGTGGCCGTTGGAAGCTCTCCAAGGTTTAAGGTCTACGATGTGGATTTTGGTTGGGGAAAGCCTGAAGGAGTGAGGAGTGGGTCCAACAACAGGTTTGATGGGATGGTGTATTTGTATCAAGGGAAGAGCGGTGGCAGGAGCATTGACGTGGAGATCACATTGGAAGCTGGAGCCCTGGAAAAGTTGGAGAAAGATAAGGAGTTTCTAATGGAAGTCTAGTTATAATATTTTGCGTGAATTAGCATCAATATTCTTATATATAAATGTTTTCGGTGATTTTAATTTTAATAGGGATTGATGTAAAAAAGAGGGTGCTATTTTCACATTTATTTTGATAAGAAGACAATTAATCGATAGAAATGTGAAAATAGTTGCACCTAATTTGAATAAGGTCAGTGTTAAAATTTGTAAAATGAAGGTATCATTATGCTATTGCTGCCAAACATTATGTTGCTACTTTTTTTTTTTTCTACGTGGGAAGAATGTTGAAGGCGAAGTTAGGGCAGTTGCTTGACTTGTTAGTTCGGTACGAGTTAGTTTTTGCTGAGGAAACAGTGGTCTCATTTGTGTTCGATGGACCTCTCCTGAAGCAATATATCGAACTCCGTTTTAGCGATTCAATTGGAGGAGTTGGACTTTGATGTATTTGAGCTTTTTCTTAATTTGTAGTAGTAGCAACAAGAATTCAAGACGTTAGTTGTCAGATCAAAACAGAAGGAATAAAATTCATGCACGTATGTGGCAAATCTCTTCAAAAAAGGGTACGGGTAAATAATAAATATGCTGAAAATTTTGGCTTTTTCAATTATCCAAAAAAATTGTCTTTTTCTCGGTTATTATTCGCACCGGATTAGGAGAAAAAATGAATTGGCAAAAATATGGCCAAGCCTACATAAATGGTTATCAATCTCCAGTACCGTATAAAGGCTCAGTTATCATTTACTAGATCTACCTGCATGCATGCTACAGCTGCCCCACTCGTTGCCAATGCACCATGTCCATGTGGGTGCATTGATAGTAGTCATTGTCATTCTTATCCACCTTACCTTTTAGGCGCAATGAGGAGGTGAAGAGGAAGAAACGAGTAAAATTTGGAGGGAAGAGGAGATTGACCGGTGGCTATCAACGTCAATCAACGACGATCGGTGTGGTGGAATATGACGTGATGATCATAAATAAAAATGGAGACCAAATTGATCCCAATGGAATATGAGAGACCAACGTTAAGTGGAAGAATAAAAATATAGTTACGCCTACATTTTACCTGCTTGGCAATTACGAGGACTGAATTAAGCAGTGCTGCCAAAAAATGGCACGTCGTATCTGTTTAGCTGATTGTGAAATCTCAAGTCTCAACCGTCCTTTTGTCGTACCTTTTTTTTTTGGGTACGAAATTAGAACAAGCATTTCTCGCCCAAAATTAAAATTAGAATGTCTTGCACAACTGCATTGATTGTCTGATTGGAAGAGACGCAACATCAGGCAAAGGCTAGCTTATGCAATAATTGACCTTATTAAGCCGGCCATTTAAGACCACTGCCTAAAAGGATCGGGTGAAGGGAGGAGAGGTGACACATACATAACTGCCTCATCCACTTGTGCAACGATAGAGTCAGTTCTTGAACTAATTTTTTCTATTATTTTCCTTTCAACCAATGGGAATCAAACAACAACAACAACATTTGGACACTACAAGAAAATGAAAGATTAGTGGTAGTTTTATAGCTATGTTTTACTTACAAACGCAACTAGTTTTTGTGTTTTTATAAAACTTAAGGTATTTATTATCAAAACGTCACTAAATATTCAAAGTATTTTTACTTATAAATGTCACTCAAGACTTGATATTAACAGCGTTTATTGACTAAAACGCCTCGAATAATCTTGTTTTAAAATTTTGAGTGAATAGTAAAGACGTTTTTGATAGAAAACGGTTTGAATAATCCAGTTAAAAAAATTGATAGGGATTACTGAAGGCGTTTTTGGCAGACAATGCATTGAATAATTCTCTCATAAAAAATGTATGTGATTATTGAAGGCGTTTTCTGTAAGAAACGCATTTAATAATTCCACGAAAAACTTTCATAAGATTATTGAATGCGTTTTTAGTCAAAATTACCTTTAATAAATATTCTATCAAGATTTAAAGATCATACGGATGTTAACCATAAGGTGGAAGGTTCAATCCCTCCCTTTAGCTTTTTTTGAATTTTTACAGGGATTATTTGTAATGGATTATTCTAGGTATTTTCTGGGTAAAAACACCTTCACTAATCGATTTAAAAAATTTTGGAGAAAGAATATTAAAGGCGTTTTTAGCAGAAAAATACCCTTAATAATCTATAGAAAATTATACGAAATGGATTATAGAAAGTTCTTGAAAGCATTTTTGGTTGAAAACGTTTTTAATAATCCAATCAATAAATTTTTAGTTAGGATTATTAAAGGCGATTTTTGTTAGAAACACCTTCAATAATCCATACAAAAAAGTTGGAACGGATCCTTAAAGTTGTTTTTAGACTAAAATACCTTTAATATTCCATACAATAAATTTTTAGATGAGATTATTAAATGTGATTTTGGTCAAAAACGCATTCAATAATATTTTGTTAGGGATTATTCAAGACGTTTTCTTGCTAAAAATGCCTTCAGTATTCTCATCAAAAAAACTTTGGTGTAATTATATATGTGAAGTCAGTTGTTGGTTTATGCTCATAAAACAGTTGAAGTCAGTTGTAGGTTTATGCTCAAAAAATATTTAGTTTATATTTGTGATACTACGAATTATATTTTGAAATTTACATTATGAACATTATTGTATGTCAATAAATTGATCACATATTCGAATTTAAAATTGACAACGTTGTCATATTAATATACTTTTCTCAAATAATCGCACTCAATAGTATATTGAGTATACATAGTATATTCATATAAACAAATATATACCAATAATATTAAACCAATACCCCAATCTACAAACTTAAATTATCCATTTAACATGGCATGTTAAAAATATTATAACAATTTGTTCCTCATATATTTACATTCAACCAACAATATCTAACCTCAAGGTTTATCAATAAATGATAATACATACTCACACCATTCTTTACAAACTTTATCAAGTTCTTCTAACGTGAAGCTTTCTTTACTCTTCCCCTAAAAAAAAATATTAGAAGTAAATGTTAATAAACGAGAACATAATTTAGCTTTTTATTTTTTTGAAGATATAACGACTTTATGAAATTTATACTAACCTTGAATGGTGTGATCATAAAATCATATAAAACTATCTCTCGCATAAAACAAAGAACATAATATCCACATTCAGTATTTTTGGGTTGATGAGGTACCTGAAAATTAAATTGAGTGAGTTTAGGAAACATTTATCTACACAAACTTAGCATAAAAGAATAAATTTCATATTTACCGGTAATGACACTCATTTTTTCTTTGTCTTCTTATTGAATGCAGATATTACCCTCAATTGAAAAGAAAAAAAATTACTTAATACATAAATAAAATTACTTATGAAGAAACAGGAGATATATAAGATAATAACATGTAATACCTCTTTATAAAAGTTTGAATTTTGAGGTTAGGCATTGCCATTGGATTAGCTGAATTAAATAAGTATGACGTTAAAGATTTGATATCAATCACAATAAACACCCAATGACAAATGCAAAATAATAAGAATAATGTACTCAGATTAAATATCATATCAGATTCGAGTAAAGTTGGAATAATTATTTGTATGAATATAATTTACTGTGCATTATACGATAGCAAATAATAATTAGTCAATTTTTTCATGCAGTCAATCACATGATTAGCACGAAAAGCAACTATGCTATTTCGCTCACTAATGAAGTTGGGGTCAATGAATCTAAATCTGAGGATCAACTGTCTCACCTTGACCTCTTTATATAGTAAGTTGCACAATAACAATCAACAATACTTGTTAGTATTACATTGTAATACAGATTAATACATATTGAGTGTGGATAAGCTAACCTTATATAAGTAATAATATCAGCAGCTGATATTTCATCCAGTTTATAAAATTTTTAAACCCTATTCACACTAATGTAAGAAAATGATGGTTTATCAAATAACCCTTCCTTAGACTCAATGGTTATGCAGTTTTCTCTAGATAAATGATTGAGCGAATAATTAGATAACTCATCCATGGTAGCATGAGTAAGGGTCATACTTTGAGTCCTAACTCTTGCTATAATAAATAATGAAATATAAGTATTAAAACCAAATCAATAAATATAATACACAAATTAATATTAAACTTATAAATAAAATCATACTTCATGACTGTAGCGGAGGTTGGGTTCCCTGCCTGACTTGCAATGAAAGTTTGTCCTACGTGAACGATGCTATCTGACTGGCCTATAGGCATGCTATGCTGTATTGCTGCCAACATGGCCTTTAAAGCAGTGAGTCTTTACTATTACTCATTAAGGTGTTGCTCCTGATCATCAAGTCATTACTGTTGTTGCTTAATGATTGCTTCATATTGTGTATTTGTGATTTGTGAGCTTTTAGGTTGATTACTAAAAAACTTTTATGGCAACACAAATTTACCAACCCCATGAACTCAACCTAGTATTTTTTTAGCTCTTAATGCTAAAGATAAAGGCTCTTTACCATACTGGGTTACCAGTTCACCAGATTTAACTTTGACAACATAATCATCCTGAAAGATAATAATAAGATAGGCTATAATAACAAATCTATATAAGTTAGTATAGAGTTATACATACAACCCCAATGTCAATCATACATGATATTAAACAAACAGTTATACATACAATCTTTTTAGTCATTTCTTTGATTACTTTATCTGTAAAAAATCCATCATTCTATAGATGTCCTTATTTCCAGACATCCTATCTAAAAATTTTGGTACCAGAGCTCATTGATTCCTATTAAATTACCGTAATATAAGAATCAAAATCTATGAAATGAATGTTCATAAATATTTATTAATGAATATAAAACAAGTGTGCAAATACTTATAAGCTCATACTTCACATTTGCATATCCCTTTCTCGCTGTCCGATGGTGATATATTTGTTTAGCCCGAGTGTTTCATTAGTTTTCTTTGATTTTCTACAAAAGAAAAAAATTACATCAATCACATATGACTATATCGAATATATTGCATAAAATCTTATAAACAAATTTTTTGGTAATGGGTTTGCATACTGAGAAATCTTCTGATAGTCGATTTCGAACAAAAAGTTTTTCAATATTTAACACTTATTACATCTGCATATGACATAGATGGAACAACCAATACATCACCTTGATCAGCCAACGGTAAATATATTAGGTTATCAATCTGCTTTTAAAGTCTCTGAATACTTTTCCAGTAGATTGAAACACGATCTTTTTACAGTCAATTGGGACATCGAACCATTCTTAAATAATTTAACACAATTAGTATGAACACATTGAATTTCAATTAAATGATCATTTAACAAATTTTATGAAATAGTTGAATAAACATACCACAATCGACTGCTATATACCATCATTTAGATCATCAGGAACTCATCGTTAATTGGTGTATGTAATTGAAATGCTACTATAGACGATGGCACCAATATGAGTAGCCAACTTAGCAGCTTTTTTAGACACAGACTGCCCACTTTGATTGAAGTCAACGTGAATTTTTGT